AGCAGCCGTCCTCAGGTGAAGAACAGGTGTGTCGAGAAGACAGCGTTGTGAGAATTAGTTTATTATGTTTCATTTTTATTATTTTATTATTTCCATTCTAGGTGACTTTACCGAAAGAACCAAGAAGATGAATCCCTGCAGTCACGAAAGCTTTAAATTGAGATGGCAAAGTCGTAAATAACTGACACACAAAGACAATTCGATGCCAAGTATCGTGACTGTAATCATCAACATTGATGTACCGATGCATCAATCACGTGCGTATTAATCAACAACGATCCCGTTAGAAGGGTGGCCCATTCTCCGTTATATCTATTTTAAGAATGTCATTCCTTGTAGAAATGAGTGCCCATCTCTAACCCACGACGCTACAGGCGTCTCGCCGACCCACGCGCCCCTCCTGTTGAGCCATGTTCGTCGCATAGGCAGTAAACGCGATATGTTCTTAAAATTCTTAGCGCCGGAATTTAAGCAAATTAAGTTACGATGATGTGGGGGGGGGGGGGGTTCCATGGAGTTAATTAAAAAACCCAGTTCAATCACGGGCGGCTGAAAACGAAATCAAATCCATAACTTAACTCAACAGCTGCCTCTTCTATGTTCTTTCGGTAAAGTCACGTAGAAGGGAAATAATAAAATAATAAAAAGAAAACATTTTAAAATATTTATTATTATTTTATTATTTCCCTTCTACGTGACTTTACCGAAAGAACCAAGAAGATGAATCCCTGCAGTCACGAAAGCTTTAAATCGAAATTTAACAGCTGCGGTTTGACTACCCACAAATTTGTATGATGCTCTTCGGGCCCACAACCGTAGCAATGGCTGTGTCCCTCGAGTCAATAAAACCTTGGCAGACACACTCTCTATTTACCTACCTATTCACCTCTATTTATGTTTCCAGGTAAGGCTCACTGAGCTAATATAGCTATTTTGTGTTAGAAGCGACCTGGCCACAAATGATAGTTCAACGAAGTGGCCGATCATCATTGTGGAAACGTATATCAGTCAAATACTAAATGCGGAGGGGCAAATCCGAGGACCCGAAGAAAAATCCACGCGTGCACGGGAAGAGATCCACGCAAACTCCAGGGTCTCTCGCTCAAACCCAGGAGCTGCTTCAACACGGGACGAACTCTCAAACACACGGTGCACTTTAATAAAAAACCCCGCACACTGGCAAAGACATCTGCAACCGTTACAGCTGGAAGGGTACACACTCCTCGATCCGGCCATCGCTACCTCATCATCAACGTGCGATGCCCATGAGCGCTGTGCCCTGGCCGTCTTGTTCCCGTCCTTGACACCCGAGTAACCGCAGTGACACTCCGGTGGTTAACGCGTTGGAGCAACACAACGGCGCACGCGGTGCCAAGTTGAAACATCGACGAAACATGATTGCGAATACGAGCCCCCGCTGTGCGTTCGCGGCGCACGCTTCGCTTGCAGCCCCTGGGCACTCGTGCAAACGAGACGTCCCGTCTCAAGATATCTATCCAGGTGAAATATAGACTTTTTATCGTGAATAGATAAGCAACGGCGTTGACCCTGAGCGCGCGCTGCCTCGAAGCTTTGCTTTCGACACCCGAGAGCCATCCGGTCACCCAAGCCGACGAGCCATTCCTGACACAAGAATAAATAAAAACTAAAAATTGTGGTTCTGCGTTGGCAGCGGTGGCAAGCGGCCACACATCGCCACGTGCTCATGACGGACGTGCCGAGATTGGGCTTTACATTTGCTCTCTCGTATCGGTCACTCGACCTCCACCCCGGCACAGTCAATCAGTAAGGTTTGTCACTTGGAACAAAACGTGCCAATTTTAGTGGCTACTTCAGCACCGCCGGTTGTGTTGGACAGTAAGCCCACGAACAACATTTGCCAATTTGAGTTAACGACGCTTCGCCGGTGACTACAACAACAACAAAAACCCAGCATCACCAGGCGATTGCCAGAAACGTGAAGACGTCTTCCCGTTTCACGTCTTAAATAGAGTACGGTGAAGTCGTCACGTTCACGCGAAATAACGCAAACACACTTTATTGTGAATTGATATTGGGAGCGAGAGGCTCCCTCTCAAAACGGATCGGTGACCGTGAGCGATCTTCAAATCTGCATGCCGGGCAATAAGCCTCCCCCCACCCTCGACAGTATTGACCGCGCGTGGCTATCAACGCGCGCACGGCCGCGTGTATGGGGGTAGAGGGGGGTGAGTGAGTGAGTGCGCGCCTGCTCCACTTAGTAAGTCACTCCGCCTCCACGCTCAGCCCACTCACCGACTCTCTCTCCACGGTGGCACTCAGTGGCGACGTACCCCCCCCACCGCCCCTTGCCTCCCCTCCCCCCCGACTATCTTCACACGACACAGACGCGCGCACGTACAAGTGTCCCGCCCCCCCTGGCCTCATCGGCCGTGGACAATGTATTCCAGCCATGGCCTCGTCGATGCCCACGACGCCACGTCTGAGACGGCCTCACGGCTGCCAGAGGCGTCCGTGAAGGTTTCAAGTTGAGCGCGGTGTTGACGGCCACACACACGCACACGAACAGATACACTCGTCCCTTTGCCCTCGATTCTTTTCATTCCTCCTCCGCCAGGTCCTCCAAGATGTTGCTTTCAGTCTCCCGCTAGCTGGCTCCTCCTGGGTGTCCCGACGTCTTCCTCTTGGTCGCTAGGCTGGTGGCCGTGGTGGATCCGGAGGCCGTGACAATCGGTATTTTAACTTAAAACTTTCGCGACTGCAGGAATTCATATGCTTTGGTTCTTTCGGTAAAGTCACGTAGATATAATAATAGTAATAAATAAAGTGAATAAAATAATAAAAACAATAAAGGTTGTTAATTATTTTAATTTTTTTTTTAAAAAATTAACTTTATTATTATAATTTTTCTATCTACGTGACTTTACCGAACGAACAAAAACATATAATCGGTATTTGATTGCTATTTATTAGATAACATTTCTCATCGAGTTTTTAATAAAAAAAAAGTAATATAGGGCTCTCTTCATTAATCTTAAGATGTCGGGACTGATCCCCTCCTCCCCACATTGGAAGTTTCTAGATCTGTCTCGGACTCATGCGAGTGGTGATGGGGGGGTGGGGTAGGAGGTGACCTCATGTTTAAACATCGCACCCACCACCCCCTCTGCTTCTGCTCATCTCCCTAGAGCTCACTCACATCTGCCCCGTTTCAAAACATACATAAAACAGCTCATGAATACCCAACCGATCCGGATGGGTGTTTTTTTTAAATATATATCTTATCGTGCATTTCTCAGCTGAATGATTTATGCAGGCGACTCTGCAGCCGCCGCTCTGTGCGACAGACACCGGGCCGAGCGCGTGTCAGCGGGAGGAGGATAACGGGGACTTTTAACCCGAGCGTCAACAACAAAACAACACAGCAAACACACGGAAAGTTGGCTCAGAGGGCACGAAGACCCCCGCCCGTGTGTAGCCTTCAGTAGATTCTTGGGGCAAGTGCCGTTAGCGAGTAGCGAGCACCTAGTGAAGGCCGGCCACTACGCGCGGAGGAGATGGGTGGCCGCCACCAACACGTCCGGCCGCCTCTGTCTATTCCACGCCGAATCGACCTAGGGGGGTGGGGGGGGCGCCCAGCAGCGGTCCAAGATTCTCGTCACTGGTGTTGACCGTGAGCGGGAATTGAGCTCGAGTCGCCGGGTCCGCAGAGCAGCGCAGCGCGCTAACCGCTGTGACACCGCTCCCCCACACTCGTGGCAGGGCGTGGTGCTGGCCACCCACCCCCTCGTGTGCCGTGCCGGCCTTCATAGGTGCTGCTACTCGCTAACAGCGCTTCCCCCAACACAAAGCGCACGCACACACACGCACACAAACTCCAACAACAGAATGAGCCACGAAGTTGCGGTGACGTCGCCACGGCGCTTGTGCCAGGCTGAGTGCACTTTGATTCCACGTGAAATGTCGATGGCTCGCTGGCACGAGGTCACAGGACAGACCCAGGTGCTACGGGTTGACTGAGATGACCGGCATATATAAATACATACACGCACAAAGATTCATCCACGTAACCTTATACAGACTGTTGGGGAAAGTGCTGTTAGCGAGCACCTATTAACGCCAGTGCAGCACAAGACGGGGGGGGGGCGCTGTGGTCACCACCACGCCCAGCCGCCTTTGTTTCCCCAGTACGGATGTTTATGCACCGTAACAGATACTTTTTTAAGGCCGAGTCGATCTAGAAGAGGTCCAGATCCAGTTCAAGTATTCGCCGCTATTATTATCATTATTGCAGTTATTCGTGAGCGGCAATCAAACTCGGGTCGCCGGGTTCGTAGAATAGCGCGCGAACCGCCACGTGCACACGCAAACAAAGACAAAGATCCCCCGTATAGCCTTAATAGACTGTCGGGGCAAGTGCTGCTAGCGAGCACCAATGAAGGCCGGACCGAACACACGCGGACGCACAGACACATCACGCGCGCTGTCGTTTTACGCACCCCGACACAGCCGTCTGTGACTGGAATGGCCTCTGACTGTAACGGGGGTGACATCGAGGCCGCGTTGAGGACAGGGGTCGGTAAACCACAACAACAACAACGAGGAGCCATTTTTTTCGAATTCGGTAAAAACGCCGATATTTCAAAAGCCGCAATTTATTGTTGGTGAATCGGAGACGGTGGCTCCTTAATAAATAACGGTCACGAAGCATTTTTCGATTTAAAGTTTTCGTGACTGCAGGGATTCATCTTCTTGGTTCGTTCGGTAAAGTCACGTAGAAGGGAAGTAATAAAAAAATAAAACATAATAAAATAATTTTGACGACGTTTCGGCCACAACGCAAGCAGCCGTCCTCAGGTGAAGTCTAGGTCTGTCTTTCAGACGCTGTCTCCCCAACAGACCTGGTCTTCACCTGAGAACGGCTGCTTGCGTTGTGGCCGAAACGTCGTGAGAATTATTTTATTATGTTTTATTTATATTATTTTATTACTTCCCTTCTACGTGACTTTACCGAAAGAACCAAGAAGAAGGCCACGAAGTAGTCACTCAACGAGCCGCATGCCGCTCCCGATCCGCAGGTTGCCGATCCCTGCCCACGGTAAACTGGACGTCCATGGTGAACTGGACTTCCATGGTGAACTGGACTTCCATGGTGAACTGGACTTCCATGGTGAGCTGGACTTTCATGGTGAACTGGACGTCCATGGTGAACTGAACTTCCATGGTGAACTGGACTACCATGGTGAATTGGACGTCATGGTGAACTGGACGTCATGGTGAACTGGACTCCCATGGTGAACTGGACGTCCATGGTGAACTGGACTACCATGGTGAACTGAACTACCATGGTGAACTAGACTACCATGGTGAACTGGACTACCATGGTGAACTGAACTACCATGGTGAACTGGACGTCCATGGTGAACTGGACGTCCATGGTGAACTGGATGTCCATGGTAAGGGATCGCCAACCAAAATAACACATTTTTTTCGAGTGCCAAGAGCCGCACTGCAGCCCTTCAAGAGCCGCATGCGTCTCTGCAGCTGCAGGTTGCCGACCGCCTGGCCGAGGAGGACCATTCACTCCAGCCTGGGGCGAATGGGTGGTAGGGGGGGTGGGGGTGGTGGTGGGGGAGGCAGTGGGAGGTGGGGGCGGTCACTCTGGGAAAGGCACCGGTCATCGGCAACGACATCAGCGGCACAGCGAGCCTCGTCACGAGCGGCCTCGTCACCCGTGACGCTCGTTTCTCGATCGCTGCCACAGCCGCCGTGGCCGTTGCGCTCCTCCGGAGGGGCCAGCGTCACTCGCAGGGTGTCCGTCAGCAGGCTCAGCGAGTCCACGGCGTCTTGCGTCAGGGGGTTCGCGGTGACGATCAGCGACGCGAGGGAGGGCATGGCCGCGAGCTTCTCGGCGGGGAGCTCTGCGGGAGAGAGATTGGACGGACGTCTTCAGAATATTAATGCGTTGACCAAACTTCTTTCGTACCGTACGTAGCAAACCGCGCGAATCGGAGGTGCGGGGGAAGGACAACAAACTATACACAAAACGCATTTTTTAAAAAGAATTTCGTTTTCAATCGAGATGATTTCAAACTGCATAGCGCAAGTGGTTTCCTAACATCGGAAGGAAGAGCGTTCCAGACGGCCACGTAAACACATCCGAAAGTGCGCGATGCAGTGACCGTCTTTATACTGGAGGAATCCGATAAGCTATAAAGCTCGTTTTCACAGATCTCCAGGAGGGGCGGGTCAGAACGTTACAACAAACAATACAAAAACACAATAAGAGTGCATATGAAAGGTAAACGAATCACTTAAAAAATAACAATAAAGAGAAACAATGTTTTGTAATTGTACCAGGTAAAGCCCAACCAAGCTATTGGTTTTGTTTGTTTGTTCAGAAGCGAACTGGCCATCACAAATGATCGCTCAATCGAGGTGGCTCGAGCCATCGCGCGGAAATCCACAGCGGCAAAATGAATCTCGCCCTAAATCAGGTTTACAGCGAGCGGCTGCGGGCAGACACGCGGAGGGACGCGCGGAGGGACGCGCTGCGAAGCCACCAAGCCACCAGCGGCACCCCTCGACGCGTGGCTTCTCCACCACCCCCTCCTCCTCCTCCACCACCCCCTCCTCCTCCTCCTCCACCACCCCCTCCTCCTCCTCCACCACCCCCTCCTCCTCCTCCACCACCTCCTCCTCCTGCGCGGCGTCGAAATACAATCAGCGTAGCCTGTAACTGTGCGGTGGGCCCACATTTGACGCGGCGGCAATGGATAACGATGGCCCCGGGCGCAAGGCATTCTCACACCGTTGATGGCCGGCTGGTGTCCCTAAAGTCCCACACTAGTTTATTGGAATATATTAAAAAGAGAGACTGGTGCGTGGGGGTACGGAGAGGTGGCGAGGGCTTGGGGGAGGCCTTCATCCAGCAGTGGATCGACCAAAGGGCTGATGATGACAATGTCGTAATTAACTGACATTGACATACAAAGACAATCCGATGGTATATAATGGTATATATAAAATGCCATATATATACCATTAATGGTATCTATAAAACATACTTTATGGACACGCTCTATATAAAACAACGGCTGCCAACTCCCAACAAAAAGGCACTCATCCCAACGCAGCTCCACCCCACCCACCCCTCGCTTAACGAGGCCTGCAGGCAGCAACAACAACAACAACAAACTGGCATTTGTACGTGAAAGTAATTCATTCGGGCAGCAGAAGTATTTCACTTGTAAACAAATGTAATCAAGATTTATCGCTCACAGCGCGATAACGAGCGCGCGCGCACAACGCAATGCCAGATTAGCACCGCACGCACGCGCTTTGGGAAGCGGGAGGGTGAGTGAGCGGGAGGGAGGGTGAGTGAGCGGGAGGGCGAGCGAGCGGGAGGGAGGGAGGGTGAGTGAGTGAGCGGGAGAGTGAGCGAGCGGGAGGGAGGGTGAGCGAGCGGGAGGGAGGGTGAGTGAGCGGGAGGGCGAGCGAGCGGGAGGGAGGGAGGGTGAGTGAGTGAGCGGGAGGGTGAGCGAGCGGGAGGGTGAGCGAGCGGGAGGGAGGGTGAGTGAGTGCCAAGACGCGTTGCTACTACGAACCCCGGCAAACCGAGTTCCATTCCCGCTCACGACCGATAACAGTGAGGAACGTTCGAACCGGTTACTGGACCTCCCTTAGGTCGGCTCAGCCATAAATGAGTAGCCGGTGCGGTGTGTAAACAACGGCACTGGGGATACACAATAGGCGGGCACCCACCCCCTCTCGTGTGCCCTGCCGGCCTTGATAGGTGCTCACTAAACAGCACTTGCCCCAACAGCCTGCCGAAGGCTATACGGGCGTGGGGGATCTTTTGCCTTTGTGCGCGCGCGAGCATCACGAACCGCTGATGTAAACACGATCCTGGCAGGGCCGTGTTTATAATTTAATTTGTCACGAAGCTTATTTATTAACGGTGTCAGTTTGTGTCACGCGGCAGAGACAAAGCCATAAAACTCCCATAATCCACGGCGGCAGCCGTCCAGTCAGCACAATCGTCCCGCCACGCGGCAATTCAATTTGATGTTGTGACGATATTTGGCTTCTGCGTCCTGGGTCAAAGAAGGGGGAAGAAAAAACGAAGACTCCGGAATTTCCACTCACGGCGAGATGGAGGAGATTCACTCGCGATAATTAAGTGCGGGAGAGGCACGAGCGATGACGCGCCGGGCAAGGTGGTCCTGTGTCTTCTTGCGATGTCGACTTCACAAGCTCGCTTCTCCTGTTGTGATGACGTTTGTTGTTGTTGTTGGTGGTGGTGGTGCCGTTTGTTTACGTGCCATTTCTTGATTTGTTGATTAAGTTTTCGTTTTCTGAGTGATTTCCACTTGCTTGGTAGTTTAGAATCAGGATCTGCACTTATACTGGAGGAATCCGATGAGTTATGAAGCTCTTTTTCACAGATATCCAGTAGAGGCGGGTCAGAACGTTACGACAACAAACAATACAAAGACACGGTAGGAGTGCAACGTATAGGAAAGGTAAACAAATCACTTAAAAATACACAAATAAAACTAAAATATAGTTTTTTATTACTAGGTAAGACCCACTGAGGTATTAACTTGTTTTTCAGAAGTGGCCTGGCCACGTAAGATAGCTCAACAAAGCGGCTGATCGTGTGGAAAGTTATCGCAGCAAAATAATCAAAATCTCAATGTATGATTTTAAATGTGTTATACATACTTCCCCCGCACCTACGTTGCGAAGAAGTTCAACATATACGCATACACACAAAGACCCGCAGACACCAACATCCATAGAGACACACACAGAGACCCACAGAGACCCACAGAGACCCACAGATTAGCAAGGTTGGCTACCTAGAGTGCGAGAGAACTTCAACATACGCACATACACACAAAGACCCGCAGACACCAACATCCATTAGAGACACACACAGAGACCCACAGAGACCCACAGAGACCCACAGATTAGCAAGGTTGGCTACCTAGAGTGCGAGAGAACTTCAACATACACACATACACACAAAGACCCGCAGACACCAACATCCATAGAGACACACACAGAGACCCACAGAGACCCACAGATTAGCAAGGTTGGCTACCTACAGTGCGAGAGAACTTCAACCTACACACATACAACCGCACGGTAAGTCACAACGACTCACTCACTCACCCACCTGCTCACCTGCTCACCACACTGCAGGTCACCTCACTTCTTTCCTCGCACAGCCCCCAACTTTGGAATTCCCGTTTCCCATCTTCTACCTCTCCCAGGCCCTTGTAGTAATAATAGTCTCGCTCAAATTTTTATTTAAAGCTTTTGTGACTGCAGGGATTCATATCATTGGTTCTTTCGGTAAAGTCACGTAGAAGGGAAACAATAAAAAAATAATAAAAATACTAATAAATTAAAAATAATAAAAATATATAAAGCAATATTTTTTTTATTTTTTATTTTATTGTTTCCCTTCTATGTTACTTTACCGAAATAACCAATAATATGAATCTCGCTTAATTCCAGAAAAAACGCTTAACCCTCTCATCTGTGGTGTTTACAACTTTCACGGGTGCTGTTTGTTGCCGGCCGTTTCGCGTTAGGGGTGCAGGATGGGGGGTGGGGGGGAGGATTTTTGTCGCCTGCGCTCAGCCACTGCGTTTAGAACATAATACAAGTGATAAGCAGTCACTTGGAGGAAGGGAAATGGAGCGAACGGCGTATCGACGAGTTGTGTGCCCAGCGCACGTTTCGCTCCGTGACGCCAAATCTCGCACGCGACCTTTCGCGATGACGAACGACCCCTCGCTTCTGTTCGCGGCTACAATGCGACCATTTGAATAATCCTCCCGCGCGAAACTTTCTCGCTCGGACCGCGCGGACGGATCGAGGCGGCCGCGGCGGCGGCTGCTGCGGTGGCGAGGAAATCATCGCGACGTGGGGCGTACAGTGGCACAGACGTGGGGCGTACAGAGGCACAGGCGCCAGCCCCTGCAATTGACAATTGCCCGCTCGTGCCACTGCTTGGCCTGAAGGGCCTCCACTCGAGGCCCGCTCTTGGGAGCCCCCCATATAGCGATCAATGTTCTGGAAGACTCTTCCACGCTGGACAGCGGCTGATTCTGGGTGGGGGGGGGGGGGATGAGGGTGATCAACTCCCCCCATCCCCGCTCCCACCGCGCCCCCGCCTTAAGACCCCAAAACTAGTATTTTAAGGCCCTATTCGAGATGCCTGAAATTCCAGGATCGTTCCCCACTCTCGTAAAGGTTGGAGATGCGCCTCGGCTGCCTTTTTACTTTTCATTTTTTTATTTTGACTTATGACTTCACCTTTCTTTATGCTATTCGTTGCGCGCAGTTGCAATTGACTCTGCTCAGTCGGTGTTGGCCGCCGAGGTCGTGACGGGTTTCTGTTTTTCTTTCCTGTTGCTCCGTGCCCCCCGGTACCACCGTTCGCGTTCCCCTCCAATGTGCACCGACGCCCACTTTATTGAGGGCGATATTGGCACGCGGAATAAAGAGTGCTTGATTGATTGGGTAGACGTTGTGAGCAGCCACACTGTAGCCCACCACACGCTACGTGCCGATCGACTGCCTGTCGCGCACCCCATGCACGCTGCTGGGTGAACAGGGGCGATGTGGGGAAAAGGAGCGGGGGATTTTAAGAAAGCCAGCAGCCCCCGCCATCCCTCCCGTTGCTTCGACTGCCGCGCCAAGAGATGGGAGTCGAACCGGCCGAACCTCTGCATTGCATCGCGCTGACCGTTACGCTGCGACGTCCCACCGAGTGGCGGACGGGAGTTTTTTTTTGCCTCGATGGTGGACCAAAACACAATCGCAGCGGCTGAAATAGTTCTAATTGCATTATAAATACTGCATGAGGCTCAGAGCGATTCCTTGAAGTGTTTGCTCTGCGGGG